AAGGGATCTACAAAATATGATGGACAAATATACACTCTGAAGAGACAAGGAAATCCTAGTCTACCTGTAGTTGGAATACTATGGTAAAAGATACCTTTACAGAATAGTCGACAAACAGTTACTCATGGAAAAAGTGAGGGAGAAATGAACAACAGAATTATTTCATACTAAAAGTTCCTCTGGAAATCCAACTCTCTCTAGTTTATTATCCTATTTAATGTCAAATAGGGCATAGGTAGGGACCTACCGAATTCACAGCGGAAGTGGGCTCTGCAGCAGCTCCTTTCATCTTGCAGGTTTCCCCACATACCCCTCCCCATTGCTGACTGGTTGAGGCGCCCCATGAGCCCTGCTGCTTGCTGCTGACCAGCTGGGAAGCAAAAATGGCACCTTATTTAAAACCATGGTTTTTGCCTCCCTGCCAAATCAGGAGCGAGATGCAGGGCCCCTCTCCCAATCAGTGAGAGGGGAAGAGGGGATGTGGGGGAACATACAAGATGAAAAGAGCTGCTGCGGAGCACACTTCCACCATGAATTCGATAGGTCCCTAGGCAGAGTTATAGCTATAGATCATGCTTCACTACCATGATACCTTTGGGGACAAGTGTCCAAAATAGCTGTTATCTAAAGCAAAATGCATTCTATCACAAATAGGTCACTTTGAAGCAAAAAGAACTCAATACAATTTAAGCTAAAAATTAGATTTCATAGATAACAAAATAAAAAAAGAATTAGGTACAGTCAGCAAATCTTTTGCTTTCACAATGTTCTAGTATTACAGAGGTTACAAGTGCTTGTCTTGACACACAAATGACACAAGCTTAAAAATGTGACTAGCAATGTGATTTGAAAAGTCAAACAAAATACAGTATTTGAAAACTTAGTTCTTTAAAGGCTTAAATGCAGTAGGTCTGAGCATAACAATTACTATGGTCTTCTTCATACACAGAATCCCACTTCACAGAAGAACAGAATCTGAAGTCCAAGTAAATTATGGAATTAACAACCTTGATTTTGCCTACAGAGGTAGGAGCACAGATAATTAAAGCCTCAGCGTTTATGAGAATGTCTGAATAATGATGAACTAGAAGGAGAATTTGAATCTTTCTAATAAAAGAAGGCTAAGTAAAGGCTTGTCTGTCCTACTTATTTTAGTTTATAACTTTGCTTTTGCCAGTGCAGATTGAACTAAAGCAGCCCAACACCTAGATTACAACTCTACCTGACTTCACTGTTCAGGCAGGATTCTGGTAGGACTCCATAATGTTTTTTTAACTTCAGCACTAGAAAGATTACTCACATTAGAAGATGATCTTTAATACAGATATTGTATATGGACCCTTTAAAAGTTGCTCTTGGGGGTTGAAGAATTGTTTTAAACAGCATCCTACGTAAGTGTATACGTACCATGGTCATGCAGTTCTGAAACTGTCCAAATTAAACACATGTGTACCCACTTAAGTCAGAATTAAACTCATGAGTATGAGCTTAATTTTTCTGATGTCTGAGGCTAAGTACAGACAGTCAAAAAGCCTGAGGCTGAATTGATTCAATGTAGGCAGCTTCCTTTAAGCTGCATAAGTTGAACTGATAACCAACTGAACTGACATTCAGTTTTCAATTGGGAAAGGAAGGGAGGCTTTAATGACCTAGGCCAGTAGGCAGGGGACTCTAGAGCACATCTCCCAGCCTGCTGGCCATTGCCAGTCCAGCCCTGTGTCCTGAAACCCCTGCTGTTCCCCCACAAGGTGTTAAGAAGCCCCCTGTCTGGGTGCTGGCCCACAATGGAAGAGCCTCCCCCTAAGGAGGTTTCCCCCAGCCCAGGCAGCCCTGGGGAGCAGAGGGGAATTTCCCACTCCCCACCTCCCTTCCCAGTTGCTGATTGCTTCAGCCACTGCCACAGTAGGGAGGGAACAGAAGTCCTTTGGGCCAGGTGCCTGCCCATGCAACCAAGCATAGGGGCAGTGGACAGCCCCCAGCTTGGGGAGCTTCCACCCACCCCAGCCCAGGCCCCCAATATGGGGCAGCCCCAGGGAACTGAGGGGAATTCTCCCCTCCCCAACCCAAACCCTTGCCTTAACTACAGCAAGTGTCAGGGATAGCCCAGGGAGCAGAGGGAAAATCAGCAGCTGGGAAAGGGGAGGGGCGAGGGCTGCCAGGGTCTGAAGGCCCCCACCACAGGGGCTTTTCCTCCCCACCACTTGCTGTGTAGACCCTGGCTAGGGAGACTTGGGTTCTGTTCCCCTGCCCTGCCATCCCTATGGACAGACAGACACAGTCAGGAAGCATGCTAAGGACCAGAGGGGCAAGGCAGTCCCTGCTCCATTGGGGCAGGCAGCATAGCCCAGGGCTGCAAAGCATCCTGGGATGCCAGAGGACTGTGAGCTAACTTGAACCAGGAAGGGATGTGGGACAGAAATTCCATAAGCTAGCTTGATCTAAATGCATTAAGTCTGATACTACATCCAAACAGGTTCATCTTAAAACCGGTTTTGGTCATTTTGAAAGCGGTTTATGTGCACTGAACTCCTGTCCCATTTAAAGCAGTTTCTGATCACTTAAACTGGCTTATGTGTAACTTCAGTCCCTAGCTGGAATGCTTAAATCATGATAAATTTAAATCCATGTAGAACTTAAACATTTCTTTTTATAATGAAAAGGGCAGAAAGTCAAGAGATGGAATTTATGTTTCCCAGATTCCACAGATCTTCTGGCTTCCAAAATCTTGATAATGGATTTTCAAGTGTGGTTTCCAACTTCCTAGTTCCTTTCCAAAGTCATAGAATCATAGAAAAATAGAACTAGAAGTGATCACAGGAGGTCATCTAGTCCAGCCTCCTGTTCAAAGGAGGATCATCCCTGCCTGAATCATTCTAGAAAAGTGTTTGCCAACCCTGTTCTTAAAAAGTTTGGGAACAACCATCACACCCAAGTACCAAGTATAATGCCCAGAACAAACACACCCTTTACCTTCAAAAGCCTACAAGAACCTTTCATTCATTCCTAACAGACTCAGATTTAAACTAGTGTTTAAGGTGATGATCAGTGCACACCAATCAATCTGTTAACACACATACAGGATTTGTAGGAATAAATATAGAAGAAACTGCAAAGGAGCTGTTCTCCTGCAGCATTACAAAACAAGCTAGAGCCTTTACCTTGGCCCTATAAATTTAACTAAAGAGTACAGGAACCATACCTATTAAACACTACAAAGATGGAAGGACCCATTGCTCCAACAAGGTTGGAAGATAATTTATTTAGGAAGTAAGCACTAGTCTTGGTCATTGCGGCAGGGCACTCACTGTTTGTGCCTGCCACTTAAAGGGCCTGGAGCTAGCAGCTGCCAGGTGCCTGATGAGGCATTTTGAACCTAGGGCTGCCCATATAAACAGGGCAGTTTTCTGCTGGAGGCCAGGCAACAACATCGCCTTGCTGCAGGTATCATCTGGAGATAAGGGAGGAGCTGTAGGGGATGGTCAGGAGGATCCTGGTTCTGGGTATGACCTAAAACTGCACCCTGGCAGGAGTGGGTGGCCTGGTGGGGCTCCCAGTGGTGCAGGAGCCCCCAGGAAATGCCAGGCCAGTTCCCACCCTGGTGAAAGGCAGGTCGGGGAGCCTTAACCTCTAGCCCCCACAACCGGGTGCGTTACCCTTTTTGTAGGGTCTGGAGGGCAGACCCCCAGAGAGAGTAAGGCCATAGACTCGCACCTGTCTGGATTTCCCCTGACTGGTCAATGCTGGGGCCAGGACCAGAAGGGTCGAAGGGCCAGGAGCCCATTGCGAGGAACGCCCAAGAGCCGAGGGCCTGGGGTTCCAACTGGCCTGGAGGTGGGCCAGGGCTAGTGAGCCAAAGGTCCCGGGGGGACCACACCTGGAAGGGGAAGCATTTCAGGGAGCTATGCTTCCCAGGATGAAGGTGGATTAGGCTGCCAGAATGGAGGGATCATAGAGGGATTCAACACTAGGATTATGGGGCCCAGCATGGGGCTGGTGATTGTGAGAACATCTGAATGCCGTCTGTGAGGCTTGGGCTGCGGTGTAGGGGAGGAACGGAGCCACAGATAGCGCCCCCTGGCATCGGGTCAAGCAATGGGCAGTCTCCCACTTGATTAACATCTATTAAATAATTAACAACAAGGCATGGCAGGATAGAAGGCAGGCAGTTAGCCCAGAAACAGGTGGGCAGGCCACAGGGAAATCGGCCCTGAGAAGGCCCCCTGTTACAGTCATCTTACCCTGGCAAAACACAAGTCTGCTGTTCATATACAGAACACAATTCCCAAACATAGGTTGGGGAAATTAAAGCCAGTTTCCCCAAACTAAAGTAATGATCAGCATTGTTGCACATGCTAATTCTATATTACACTTTAAACAGAAGGGATCATGGAAATCAGGAAGGATACACAATTATTTCAAGGTAGCTTATTTCTCAGTCCTCCTACACAAAGATAATTCAGTTATTTACTCAAGTTCTCAAACGTTTTCAAATTTAGATATAAACTGAAGTTCCAGTCTTTCAAGGATGATATGTGCTTGCTTAGAGTTAAGCATGCACCCAAGTTCTGCATAACTGGCGTCCAGGCAGAGAACATTTCATCCAAGAGTGCAAGTTCTAGAAAGTTATAAGTGACCGAAAAAGGTAACTATAACAAGCACCGACTATACTATCTTAACTGTCATGGAACATACTTGTACGCTAACAAAAATAGGTCCTTATACAGTTCCCATCAGTAGGGCAATAATTATGGGTTTGACTGATCCCTCGATGCAAGAAATACTGGGTATTCCTTGAACATACATGTGGGAAAAATCCCAGCTACCAACTGTTCAGATATGCTTTACCTCAAAACATGAAATCAGCTTACCAAGAGCTTTAGTTTCACATCAGTGATAGATGGCTGGGAAGACTCTAGGATGCAATTCCAGGACTTTCAATAGTAGCAGATATGAGAGAGAAAATGTGGCCTTCGGACTCGCAATGCAGACTGGTTACTTACCAAAAATGTATTTCCACAGTGTCCACACACTACCCTAGTACCATCTGGCTGAACAGACAAGGCAGGTTGAGCTGGCTGTTCTTCTGGAATCAGCATCACTGGACCAAGATTAATGATGCGTCTACTGTGGTAAGAATATTAAATGCATGTTGTCATTAGGCTGGTGAAGGGGAAGGCGTATGCAAGTGATTAGCACTAGACACAAACATGTTTTTATACCTATAAAATGTATTAAAACATATTAAAAATGCACCAATTTGGGTCTCTCCCCCTACAGGGTTTTCCAAATAGATAAAGGATTTCTTATCTTCCCCCTGCCTCCACTGGAGGTTATATTACCATCCACTTAAGTGGAAACTATTACAGAGAGAAAAGACATAGTCAGCAAATGGCAAAGAGCTTGGGGTTTATAAGAACTCTCTCTCAGACATAGTCCATCAAGCCTGGAATAACCAGACAATCAAGCTTGTGAACTGGGACAGGCAAAAGTGGCCAGAGAAAATATGCAGCAGGGCTAAGGAATATTTTTTGGTCTTCTAGGCAAAATTATTTCCCCAATCAGTTTTTACCCCGATTAAAAATGAGGGATTGTTCCCTATTATTTCCTCCAGCCAAATTCCTTCTTCCTACCCTACCCAGTTCACCCTAAACCAAACCAGGCAGCCTCTCTGTACTTTCTGTAGCCAAAAAGTCATTCAAATCTGGTGGATCAGAAGAATACTGGAAATGCTATGCTTTGCTTAATCAAAAACTTTTAATACACTAAATCCAGGGTGTCAAACTCATTTGGTCCTGTTTAGCCAGATCCAAACTATGGGGCTTCTTGTAGGCTGGACAGCCCACCTCTGGCAGCAGAGCAATCAACAGTGGCATTAACCCCTTAGGTTCTGGCAGCTGCACAGTTCCTGCTTCTGACCTACATTCCTAACAGGGATCCAAAACTGGGAATTCACTAGTGGAGCAAGCAATATTAACTCCCCAGGTGCTGTCCCTGCAAATGTAATTGCTCTGGTAGCCACTGGGGTTAATGCCCCCCCCCAAGACAGTCCTAGAGGCCACATGTTTGATACCCCTGCATTCATCTAACATCAAGTTCACCCTACCAATATATCAGTGCCATATCAGATTGGCACCGATAAAAGCAAAATTAACATCAGCAGCTATCAGCTTTTTAGGCTGGTATAGCCAATAATGTACCAATAAATGTAATATGCCTTCTAGCTGGAGCCCCCAGACACCATGCACAGGTGCACAGCCGCACGCATGAACACAGCCAGGAACGCACTCAGGCAGCATGGAGAGCAGCACCTTGCAGGTAAGTTTTTGGATGGGAAGAAAACGGAGCGGGGGGGGGCAGATTAAGGCCCCCACAGTGAGGGAGGGTGTGGGGCAGGGTGGTGAATGGGACCCTGTGGCCCAGGCAGGGAATGGGATGGAGCCGTGGGCAGCTCATCCAGGGGATCAGCATCCCAGCGCTTAAAAATGGCAGTGGGGGCACTTGAACTAATGTTCATTGAAAGAGCTTTAGTTCAAGTGCCGACGACACCTTTTTTAAGCACCGGGATGCTTTTAACTGGAGCGGAGCCCAGTGGGGCAAGGGTGGAGATGGGCTGGCTGCTGTGGGCTTGGAGCTCTTTGCCCCAGGAGCCATGCGCTAGCCATGTCACACCCCCTACCCATCTAGCAGCAGAAGGAACAGCTCACCACCACCAGTGCCACCAGATGGGCAGGGGATGCAGCATGGCCAGTGTGCAGCTCCTGGGGTAAAGGCAGCAGGGTGAAGAACCCCGAGCCCACAGTGGGCAGCCCGCCTCCACCCTGGCCCCGCTCAAGTTAAAAGGTTCCGGTGCTTAAAAATTGTGGTGGCAGTGCTTGAACTAAAGCTCATTCAATGAGCTTTAGTTCAAGTGCCCCTGCCACCATTTTTAAATGCCGGGACACTGATCCCCTGGACAAGCCACCCGTGGCTCTGTCCCACTCCCTGCCCTGGCCCCAGGGTCCTTCACTGCCCTGCCCCTGCTCCACTCCTTCCCTAACCATGGGGTGCTCGATGTTCACACCCCATGCCCCTTCCCCTCCACAGACTTGCCTGCAGGCCCTGTTCTCCATGCTGCCCGGCTGCATTCCTGTAGATCGGTTATTGTATCGGTATCAGCTGATATTCTTGGTGAATAATTTGCTATCTGTATCAGTACACCCCAATATGATACTAATAAAGTCACCAATTTCTAGCTCTTAATACCATGTAATGTCAATGTGTGTCATTTGCTTGATTTTATGATCAAGTAATCCACAGTGGATTATTCCATATTTCAAATTTAGTCATATAAACTTGTTCATGCAGAATAACAGCACATGAAAAAAACCAATAGGAAAATTCTCACTGGGTTCTGCTCATTTCTGGCACTGGGAACCTGACGGAGGTGCGATGGTGGGAAACAACAAAGTCTTGCAATGCACAAGGTCTCTCTCCCTTTGTCATACTGACAGAGTTAAGATTTGCAGACACTGATCTTGAGCTGGTTCCTCTTTAGAATAGGTGGAAGGATTCATAGAGAGCCCTTCACAGAGAATAGCCTGCTACAGAAAGCACTGCCCACAGTCTGCTCAAAAATCTGCTCAGTTATCCCCACAAACAAGGCATATCTTAGAGCTGCTCAGAAGGTATTCACTGTTGGGAATGATCATTTAATAAGATTAGGGTATTTAGGTTTTTTGCTGCATTTTTACCTGTATATTAAATGCTGTGACAACAGCAGGACAAGAAATGGCTATCCCATCCTGCAAGTATGTCTGAGATTTCAGAAGCTTTTCTTCTTCTGCACTGGCACAAAACAAGACCTTTTCAAGTTTCCCAAGAAGAAAGACACCCCTTCCCATGCTCCAGAACAAGCTTGGTGGTCAGTGCAGATGACGCTGTGTAGGCTTTGCTCTGCCTAATTGCTTCAGTTGGAGCTCCTGTACTTTACAGTTACTGGGGGCGGGGGTGGGGTAGGGATAGGAGGGAGGCGCAGAGGGAGATATTACTGCTGTATACAGCCTGTTATGGCACTCATCAGGGAGTTGTGTATAATGAATATTTTCTTCTTGCAATGAATATTTAATTATGTATACAAAACTCCAACAGGACAGACTGAGACTCGCATCAGAACAGCTGAATGCGCCTTGATTAGGACACTCACTTGAGATATGATGCAGGATACCCAGGTTAAAGCCACTGATCTAAATCATGCACTAAAAGGATTTGAACCAATGTCCCAAACACCCTAGGTATCTGCCAGGATCAGCAAGCTATCAGCTCCTTGCAATTGTAGATGCTTCAAATTTAATGGGGAATCCCCTTATGGATATAAAAAAAATTCTTCACTGATATAACTTTTCACATGCTCCATGAAAAGATTCACTTTTAACTAAGCTAGTATTTTCAAATTGGGAGAGGAGGAGAGGAAACAGTTGAAAAATTCCAACCAGTTCTAGTTACAACTAGGATAGTCAGAATTTCACTCATGGTACTCAAGTATGCACCAGAACCATCCTATGCATTGAGAGATGCCTCTTTTTTTAAGGCTGGAAGAACACAATATCAGATTGCTTAAATCAGCTAATTATTCTAAGTAAAGAGAAGCAATATATCCTCAGGGTGTTTTGAAGAAGAAAGGATAGGTGGCATTTCTTCAAAGAGATATTGCAGGTTTTCACAGTTCATGAGCTATAAAAGGGGTGTAATAAAGTAAGTTGTGTCCTTGCCACTTTTCTGGGGAAAATTAGATGCAGCATTTACCAGAATTTAAGTGTTCACCCCATTGTATCGTTACTGCCTTCATATATTCCTTGTAAAATATATAAAACATACAACTTAAGTGAAATACCATTCCATAAAAAAAATGGAGATATTTGAAGCCAATCCCAAACAGACTATAGTTACTATGGCACAAGGTATAATTTTTTTCTTTAAGTATGTTAACATAATGAATCAGGTAAATTAATATCTGACCAGAGCTCTGTGCAAATGCTTGTAAATATAGTTTTAATGAAATGATCAAAGTCTATACTTTCTTTATTTTATAATGACTTAAATATCTGTGTACCTTTAGCTACTTATTTACAATATTTGCATTACAATATCATCCTAGCAATTTTATTATAAATGAAATGGAACTACTGCAGTTGAGAATTTTCTTACCAGTTGGGTCTTGGACAGCCTATTCTTCGAGATGTATCCTTACAGATTAGGAGACAATTACATGGACATCTAACATACTTCTTCCCTGAAGGAGGGTTTTTGATTGGCTAGACCAGAGAAAAGACGACAGATATTAGCCTTGAAATAATGAACTTTGCTTTATTTTTTAATTCCTTAAAGGTACGGCCACATGGACATCTTAGCCGCTCTGAAAAGGATGGGAGAGCTGCTACACCACAGCATGCAGCAGATGATACGGTTTAACTGGTATGTCCAGAAATGGATTCAGTGGGATATGGCACTATGGTCACATCATTCTTCAATGCTGTGAGCTCCAGTCTTGTCCACCAGGCACACGTGTAATGAGCTCTCTGCCTCTACCACACTCTCCTTCTCAATTTCCTGGACCTGCTCCTGGTTAGGTTTATATGAATCTGTATCAGTGGTGCTCAAATCTTTTGGCCCCATGGGCCAGATGATCGGCACCTGGCTGGATCATGCCTCGTGCATCTTGGCCCCATGCACCCAATATAGTGTGCAAGGCTTTTATATAGCCTGTGGGACTCCCCATGGGTTTGCAAATTTGACAGCAGGGGAGCAGCAGTTAAGGCTGCCCCACTACCAAGCTTTCAGACCCATGGGGAGTTCTGAGGGCCAGATGACACAGCTTGGTAGGCCAGATCTGGCCTGTGGGCTGGGGATCAAACACCACTAGTCTATATCAATATAAAATAGCTAAATAGTCCTTAATTTGATAGCAAATGGAGCCAGGTTAGAGTTGGAGGGACTTTGTTCCTCTTATCACTGCAGAATTATACACTGTAACAGCTTGTATTAGTATCCCACTAAAGATAGAGTATGCACATATACATAAAGTATCACAGTAAACAAGTCACCATGAGGTAAATTAGGGTGTGAATTAATAGTGGTTTAAGCCAGTGGTGCTCAATTTCCCCACCCCCTGTGGGCCAGATCTGGCTGGTGTTCCTCATCTGGCACCCGGGGTGGGCACAGTGAGCACCATTTGGCCATGAGGAGGCAGGCAGGGGGTAGTATGGTCCCAAGCCAGCCCCAAGGTGGGTGAAGTGGGGAGGATGGGGAACAGCCCAGCCCTGACAGCCACGCAGGGCTTGCGGCTTGGCAAACTGGCAGGGAAGGGAGGGTGACCATATTAATGGCTACTGCTCCCCTGCCATCACATTTCCCAACCCAGGTGGAGTCCCGCAGACCAGATGCCAAGGCTCCACAGGCTGTATCTGGCCCATGGGCCAGAGGTTGAGCACCCCTGGTTTAAATGCTACTCCACTAACTGCCTTGCTGCATGCTCTGACAAATGCAAGTTAGCTAACTCCTCAATGAAAGCAGGACAAATTACTTTGTGGTAAGGCTAAAAGTACACATACAGGCAGTGACCATAGAGAACCTGTACTGTTAAATTCACACCCTAACTTATCCCCAGTAGTTTCTACAATCACAACTATAATATACAGCCACCTGTGAACATATGTATAAAAAACAAACCAAGGACTTTATGATCCAGTGGAAAAAGTGAAACATTCATATCCTGAGAATTGTAATTGCATTAAGCATTAACTTAAATGTTTTTTAAACAAATAACCCCGCTTAAGTGTTAAATGGGTAAGCTTTGCCTTTTCATGATAAACCCACTGACTGCAAGGCGGTTCAGTTCAGTGAAAACAAGATATTTCAGAATGAAGTAGAACCGGGATACTTCACAGGGTTAGGTCCTCCCTCTTCTGTGAAGATAAGGGTTTGCAAAGTAACCAGGGGAATACAGAGCCACAGACAGTAGGACTGCTAAGCTTTTATTTCAAATGGCACTTCTTTGCTGATTAGCTGTACAGGACTACTGAGTGAAAAAGCAGTGCCTTTTGAAGAAAGCCAGACCAAATACCTGACTGGTTTGCCCTTAATTTGGCAGCCTGCTGCAAATCAAGTTGCTTCCAAACCACCTGGATAATGACCACCTCTGTTCTACTACATCAACTACTAACACAGGAATTTAGCTTCTATGTTTCTTCTCAAAGGAAAATCATAAATATCCAAAAGCTGAGAGATTTACTCTTGATAATGCTATAGGAGTTCACACTATCACAGTTGGCAGGGGAAAAGGTTTTTACTGCTAAAAGGCAAATTACTATTTTTCTTTTAAAAACATCACATAGATCTGTCAGATTTGGGGGGGAGGAGGGGGGAGAGAGAGGAAGGGGCTAATAACCAGTTATCATTACTAAGTTAAAACTAAATGTTCTTAACCCTTGCAGTGTTAACCAAGGGCTGGACTAGATAAGATAGCCATACTTTTCCATTTTGCCCAAAGAATCTGTCAACTGTTTCCATAAGCATCTTCACATTCCTTAACATATTTCTGATATACTTTCATTTTAATTGACAGAGTTAGTAATAACAACTACAATTACTTGACACTTCTCAATATAAAATACTATAACCCTCTGGCAAAGCTTTAAAATCACTATACCCTCAAATTTGCCTGCTAGTTCATTTTAGTAATTAGTTATGTGGACCAGGGACCTACCCTTTCTAGGTAACAGGAATTGATAACAGCATGTCAATAACAACAGAAAGAGCTAAAAACCCAATTTACCGTAGCTTCATTGCAAACTGTGCACTTAACAACATGCTGGTGAAGCTTGCCATCCAAATTGATTAGAGACTGGCACACACGGCAGTTTATTACAGGAACACCACTGGCATCTGGACTGGCAATGGCGGTATATGGAGGTGGGAGTTCTGCTGCAGAGAAATGATGAAATAAGTTTAAAAAAAAACCAAACCCATAGGGATCCCAAGCTCACTCTTCACCAGAGAAATATTTCTGGCAATTAGAAATAGCTTGAAACAAGAATAAGAGCATTATTAGGTGGTATGATAATATGAGTAATTGTCAAACTAATTGCACTTATGAGTATTTTATAAAAGGGACATTAGTCCTACTTCAATGTAAAGAATACTGACAATTCAGAAGCATTACATGATACAATAGGGAAGCAAAAAAGACAGAACAACTACCCCTGTAACCCTGCATTGTTGTTCTCTGAGCATTTGGTACCAGATTCTTTCACTCCAAAAAAGTCAAAGAACAAAAAAAGTTCTTTAAGAGTTAGCATTGATTATTGAAGGATAAGGAAGAGTTATAAAAAACAGACAGCTGGAGAACTCGAAGCAACAATGAAATCATCCAAAGAGGGTGAAACACTAGGAAAAGTATTTTTAGTGAAATATAAAAAGGTGGGTACTAGAAGCAGCCAAAGAAAGTTAGAGAAAGTGAAATTCAGAATTTCAAAAGTACCCTTCTTTCCAAGTCAAGTTTATAAGCTTAATCCTATAACATGTAGCAACCCTTAAGGTCCTGAGGCCCCTCACCTTCCACTGAAGGTAGCTCTTCTGAGAGGCCTGCCAATATTTCTAGAG